ATATATATACATGTATATATAATATATATATATATATATATATAGTATATATGTATATATATGTATATATATATATATATATACATATATGCATATATATATATATATATATATATTCAAATATATATATATATATATATATATATATATATATATATGTATATAGATGTTTATATTTATATATATAAATACATACACACGCACACACACACACACACACACACACACATATAAGTAGATAGAGAGAGAGAGAGAGAGAGAGAGAGAGAGAGATGGTGTGTGTGTGAGAGAGAGAGAGAGAGAGAGAGAGAGAGAGAGAGAGAGAGAGAGAGAGAGAGAGAGAGAGAGAGAAGAGAGAGAGAGAGAGAGAGTCAGACAGAGAACCTACGCATCTGCCCCATCTCTCTGCCTCTGCGTGAGTGCGTGCAAGCCCCCCCCCCCCCAGCCTGGCGGCCCTAAGCGTCGCTGAGCAAGCCGGTAGCCCGTGCTATGGAAGCGACCCTCTCGGCTTCGTCCATCCTGCAGCCTCCGTGATGGATGTTCGTCACCCGCTGACAAGTGATAGATCGTCCTTCGGCAGCCTGGTTGTGCTGGGAGCGAGTCCTTAAAAGGCCGGGCGAGTAATTGAGCAGCGCAGCCTCTCGCATTGATATTGTCTTCGAAGTTTTGTTTACTCGGCAGAAGAATTATCACTCGTCTCGGCTCCCAGTCTTACCTTAGAGTAATTTATGGTTATGATATCTCATCGCGGGCGCCTCCTTCGCATGTCGAGATGGATAATGAATACCTATCTCGCGTTAATTGCGTTCGCCTTTGGGTTATAAATTCCCCCTCACTAACGACCGGGAGGCGAGTGCTTGTTCATGAGGATAATGATGAGGTAATTGAATTAAGTTCCTGATTTGCAATGCCGGACGAAGGTTCATTGGGTACTCGAGGAAATAAAAGTTAAGGTTCTTCTCATCGTTTATTCGAAAAATAAAATGTTATACATAGGAGGGATCATTACAGACTATTTTTGGTGTAAAGACTTGACTAGGTCGTTCGATACTAAATGTAATGATGGTAAGGTTATATACACAGCAGAAAACAGTGTTATTTTACCTGTTATTATCATTTTATACTTATTCTGAAGTTACATTTTTGCCGAAATGTGTTATAGTGTAATTGATGTTAAGGTGTTCGTAGACTGTAACTATTTACACAGTGTATATCAATCTGAAACACACACACACACACACACACACACACACACACACACACACACACACACACACACACACACACACACACACACACACACAGAGCCACACACACACACCATACTGATTTATAATTATGTGTTCGTTGACTACAAATAAGGATTAGAACCAAAGACTTCTGTCCGGCCACGAGCGAAAAGGAACCAAGAGTCATAAAAGCAATACTTTCAAGGCATAAACAATGCCCTTCAGATAAAGATATTTTTCTCGCAGTATAATTTGCGTTCGAGAAAAATTTTCAGCGGACAACAGCGTCCACAGCAAGGCTTGTTTGTGGCAAACTTATTAACAATAAGAATTGGCAGGAAAATAATAAGTGAAAATGCATCGTTTGGAAAATCAACAGTTTGGGTTAGAATTTAATCAAGTTGGGATCTTTTTTTTGTATTTTATGTTGTTGTTGTTATTTTTCTTTAGCTAGACGAAGCTCTCCTGGCGGGACGAGTAGATCAGGAAGGAATCGAGAAGACGAGGCTCCACCAGCTCTGCCGCGCCCATCTCTCGGAGCTCCTCGGGGCCCAGAACAGCGGCCATCTTCCTCAGCGCCGCCTGCGGGTGAGGGAGGAAACAGGGTGAATCAGACGAAGGGGGGAATTAAGGGTGATTCAAGCGGGGGGATCAAGGGTATTTAAGGGAGGGGATCAAGGGTGATTCAAGGGATTCAAGGGGGAAGGCAGGGTGATTTAAAGGAAGGGGAAGGCAGGGTGATTCAACGGAGGGGGGGATCAAGGGTGATTTAAGGGAAGGGGGAATCAAGGGTGATTCAACGGAGGGGAAGGCAGGGGATTTAAGGGAGGGGGAAGGCAGGGTGATTTAAGGAGGGGGGGGAAGGCAGGGTGATCCAAGAAAGGGAGAAGGCAGGGTGATTTAAGGGAGGTGGGAAAGCAGGGAGAATCTGGAGAAGAGATAGAATAGAAGGTCCCATTAAAGGGTAAAAGCAAGGTGAAACAAGGGAAGGGGAAGGAAGGGGAATCGAAAGAGGGAAAAGGTAAGGGAGGGATTAAGACAGGGAATAAACAGGGTGAATCAACAGAAATATAATGAATCGGAGAAGGAAAACTATAATAAATCGAGAGAAAGAACACACAGAACGAATCAGGAAACGGAAAAAAAGCAGACTAAACAGAGAGAGAGAGAGAGAGAGAGAGAGAGAGAGAGAGAGAGAGAGAGAGAGAGAGAGCAGAGGAGAGAGAGAGAGAGAGAGAGAGAGAGAGAGAGAAAGAGAAAGGACAGACTGAAAACCCAAGAAAAAAGCCAACCCGCGATAAGTGATACGTGTTTGTAGCTCTTCCTTGTCTGTGCAGTTAGTGCCAGCTGTCAATTAGGTGTGGAAGATACTACTGCCTTTTTAGATGATGTTGTGCTGTCAGTGTCCTCAGAGGTCTTTATCGTTGCTCGAGAGTGTGCGTTGAATGGATGTGATGTTCATAGCTACCGTGCTGTGTAAGTTCTAAGGGGTGTCGTTGTTTCAAGATAGTGGGAAGATTAGGGATAGCCAGTTGCGTCCTTTCCCCGTCCAGTCAACAGACTACAAAAATGTGATTTGTCCCTGTTGCCTGTGTGTAAAGTGTCGAAAACATATCAATTCTAGCAGAGAGTAGTATAAAATAACCCCTACCAATATTATAAATGTCCAAAAATAGGTTGTGCTAGATCACCTAGTTCCATGTAGCACCTCAAGTCGTACGTATCTGGTGCAACATTCAGTAGTTGCAAGTGAAGTGGTGTGTAGATATGCATTAGCAATACTTTCGACGCAGCAAATCCTATTAATGAAAATTTGTATGTATTTTAACATAGCTAGATTCTTCTTAACCATTAGTAATGAGTCTATAATGTTGTGTCGTGATAATGTTAGTTATATATGACTGTGAGAGAGTAAGGCAGGTATGAAAGAGATGAGAGAGAGAGGAATGACAGAGCGAGGCGTAGCGAGCAGATAGAGGAAGAATAGGAATAGCGTGAGCAAACAAAGGACAGGAGTGAGAGTGTGAGAGCGTTCAGGTATTGGAAGGGACTGGGGAGAGGACAACAAGTAGTAGGTATAATAGATCATGAGATGAGATGAAGTAGGTCAGAAGAGTGAAGCGAGAGTGCGGATGAAGAATATATTGCAAAGAGCGAGTAAAGCACACATTGAACTCAGAGAGATGTGAAGAGTTGAGAGTAGGCTTGAAGTGATAAACAGAGAGACGGGAAGAATGATGAACATATAGGATGACACAAAATACTTCTGACAAGCTTCCTATCAACACTCCTTAAAACTTATATAATCCCAAGCATTTATACATTTATGATGAAAAGATAAATACTATATATGAAAAGCACTTATAAACCTTTGTTCACACAGTTGCCAGGAAAGACCGCACCACCAAAAACTGAGAAAAAATATATAGTCAAGCCCAATCAGATTATAATCAACACGAGACCCCCTAGATAGACTCCGCGACATAACTACACCAAGCAAAGTCCACCAAAAGCGCGAGCGACCACTGTCGAGTTTCCTATCTCTGTGCGCTCGTCACCTGGCCACCAGCCACAGCTGTCAGGGCACGTCACGTTTAGACCTCTCCGACGAGGCAGCCGCCGCGTCCCGTGCTCCACCTATCCTCTTGTCTCACTCGACCGCTAGCAACGACACAGCCTATGAGGTGACAGGAGGAAGCGAAGGACTGGGGAGAAGGGTAGGGATGAGTTTCAATATGTAAACTTATCGTATCCACTCGATCACACACAAAAGCGTAACCGGACTTACACCCAATCACCACATCAATCTATGCAGTACACAATCACACATCTATAAAAACCGTACGTCACACAATCCACATCACCTAGAAACACAGTACACATACTCCGTAGCACAGCCAGCAGAACTACGGCTTAACACGAATATCACAACAAACACAAACGTAACCTGAGAGACAGGTCAACCGAACATCGTAACGATACTAAAGATACTGTACAGGTGCGAAGATGTTCTTACGTAATCTTCTATCAGAAGTCGACTCTAAATTTGAACACTGTCGTTGAATGCAAAGTCCGTTGATCTGTCTTGATCATAACTGTCGTAATCACGTCTAGTTCATTATTCTATTTAGCTCAGAAACCTACTCTCATCATAACTATTCTACCCTTCTATCTATCTACTAACTTCTATACTATCTACTCTTCACCTATCTATCATATATTCCTAACTTCTATCCTTCCTGAATACTATCTATCCTATTCGCTGAGTACTTATCTAATCTACCTTTCATCAACTTATCTACTTCTATATTATGATTCTAATCTACTACTTCTCAGGTTTTCACTATATATTTACCAATATCGTTGCAAGGCCGAACTGGAATGGCAATCGAGTGGTAGGTGGCCGACGCTGTAGTGCTCTTACAGAATAAGGAACAATACACAAAGAATGTCTAGTGACTTACTATTATACAAGGATAGCACAAAGTCGGCAGAAGCAACACTAAGGCGTAGAGAGTGCGAACGAAAGCACCTATGGATCTAACCACCCATAAGGCACACACACACATAACACAATCACTCCAACACACCACTCACCTACCTGCACCCTAACCTACATCACCAGCCAACATCCATCATCACACCTAAACACCATATATTGCGAGTCAAGCTATATTATTTACTACCGTCATAGTAGTATATATATGAGAGAAACTAGTATATATATTATATATTGGTCTAATTGTATATGCTCTAGAAAATTGAGGTCAATTAGTTAGAGACGTGGTAGATCTCTACACAAACCCCAAGAGATGTGTTCTTCGATACGAACTCAGATTCATGTAATTTCTTGACCCGGAAGAGAAGCATCGAGTTTGTGATACCGCGCTTCTCTACAGCCCGCTATATATAGTACCTGATATAGTATAGTATAAATGGAATAATATGATATAAGTTATAAAGGTCTATAGTCGTAGTACGGTATATATGAGTACATATCGAGCACACAAACTATCCCTACAAACATAACACAGTAAGAAATATTACAGATTATAGTAATTAATAGTATATATAATACACGTCTATATTATTATATATATATATATATTGATATATAATAATATGTATATATATGTACACACATCACACACACACACCAACAACCAACAACAAACACAACACCAACACACTACTAAATGTTATTAAAGAGAGAATAATAAATAAACCTTGAGATATAATAATAAATTCTAATAGTAAGCTATAATAATTATTAATAAATAAATAAAAAAAAAAAATTATAAATAAAGCAAGTGTAATAATAAATGATTTCTAAATATAAATACATGTAAATCAATCAACGTAAATTCGTTAAAAGAACGAGAATGGAGCACATAGAAATTTTGACATAATAATGTTTAAATCATAAAAAATGATAAGAAAAAATATCTAACTATAAGTTGAGAGAGAAAATTCATAAAATAATGAACATAACGAATATAATTAAATCAGTAGTTGGAATAGCGTGAATGTAATGATTGTAAGTATGCTTCCTAAAAATGTGTTTGAAGAAATGAATTACATTAAATTTGAATGAAGAATGTAAATTTTCACCGTGTAGCATCTTTTAATCCAGCCATAAGCCAATGTAGTGTGTAGTGATGCTGGCCGATTGGCACCATTTTGTCTTGTTAGTGCGACTAGCTAGAATGTTGAGTGAGTTGGTGTGGAGAAGATCAAAAGGAAAGACAGAGTAGATATTGCTACCTGTCCATAACGTTTGTAGTGCTTGTGAGGAAGTTGTGTTTTGAAAGACTAGTTGCTTTGTTGTGATGTTCGTGCGTATTGGGGATTGTTGTCCAGCAGGCGAGGGACACGTTAGTTGGCAGTAAGTACGTACTTACATCATCACAGCTGCACCAAATCACTATCAATGTGTTGGCTCGTTGTAGTTCGGCGCTATATATTTTACGCAGTCCAACGAGGTGTTATGCTTAGAGAGAGAGTGAGTACACAAGGGGGCTGAGGCAGTGAAGTGACTCGCATGGGCCATATTGGAGGCGGTAGCGCAAGGATAAGAAGAACACAGACGTATTAGGTAGGCAGTTAGAGAGACCAAGGAGATTCAAGAGCAACAGGAACATATAAAAAAGTATAGTACCGACGTGTGAGCGAAGAATCCAACGTGAGAGACCAGCCATCATATAAATCTAGTGTTCCTATTACATACCTGTTTATTAATTTCACTGTTTATTTTTTATTATCATATGCCAACAAAATTGCAAACGAAAATTCTATCCCAGTGTCAAAGAACTTCCCCCAAGTAATGAAATCATCCACACACCAATTTTCGCGTATATGCCAATTGTCCTTCGCCCCTTGCCCGTGTGGCTCTAATCACAAGTACAAGCAAGGAAATATATTTCAGCTATATCTTATTAAACATTAATTCTTAAAAATTATAATTATATTAAAACAACTATTTTAATAAAAATTTATTCAATTACTTATATTTTTTAAAATTTTTTTATTTATTATAATTAATTATATTACTATTTTTTTATATATTTTATTTTTTGCGAAAATTTTAGTGTTCTACTCCCTTTTATTACATAAACTGCCCGCAATAATTTTTTCTGTTTGGTTGTTATTTTTTTTTATAAAAATATTCATCCCTACCCTTCAGCCAGTGGAATAAAAGATCCTCACTAAACCGTGAGAAGTTTTTTCTTTACAAAATTATTCAAATTACTATGCAGCACAAAAAAATTTATTAATTTTTTTGTGTTGCGTGAAATCGCAATAATAATTTATTTTATTAATCCCGTTGAGAAGACCCACCCCCGAGTCAATTGTGAGTGGAATGTTTGTGTTTCAAAGAATTGATGCCTAACATACGGCAGTCCATCAACAGCATAGTCTCAGCAGGAGACAGAGTCTCAGCAGGGAGTAACAGACCTACATACCATGGTATATTTTGCCAGGCGTATGTTTATGATATTGGTTCAAATTGCCTGTACCTCTTCAAAATCTCGCAATACCTGACAATTCTAATCATCCATTCCGCCCTTTTCAGGTAAAACCTGTTATCTCGCATTTTCTATGTGGTCTATGTTAATATATTAATGTATCAATAAATGTCATCTATTTTAAACTACACACCCTTGCATTCTTTTCTCTTGGATTTTTTTTTAAAAAATTTCTTTTTTTTTTTCCTTTTTTTTTTTTTTTGATTATTTTTTTTTTTTTTTTTTCGTTTTTTTTTTTTGTAAATTTTTTTTTTTTATTTTTTTGAAAAATTTTTTTTTTTTTTTATTTTTTTTTTTATTTTTTTTATTTTTTTTTTTTTTTTTTTTTTTTAAATTTTTTTTTTTTGATATTTATTTTCGAAAAAAGCTTCCAGAAAACATCAAAAAGTCGCGTTCATTTTTTTTTTTAACAGTAAAGACAGGATCTTCAATGGCGGGGATCATGTTATCCGAAAGTTAATTTGATAGATCGATCTCTCTGGGATTCGATTCTTGATCTCGAGAACACGGAATCGAATCTAGGTCTCCGAACTTGATCAGGTTCTTGCAAAAAAAAAAAAAAAAAAAAAAAAAAAAAAAAAATCGCAGACCAGGTGAATGAGCTGCAGATTTTGTCGCTGAAGTACATGCATTTAAAGAACAGTGTGTGTGTGTGTGTGTGGGTGTGTAGGTGTGTGTGTGTGTGTGTGTGTGTTGTGTGTGTGTGTGTGTGTGTGTGTGTGTGTGTGTGTGTGTGTGTGTGTGTTACCGTTAGGATTATACTCGGTGCATCTATTCTATCTGTTTCTCCACCTGTCTATTTGTCTATATATTGTAAGTTTATGTATATTTCGACCATTAAGATTATTCCCGGTGCAACTATCTGTCTGTCTGTCTATTCATCTATATATTGTCACTTTATCTATATTTCCTTATTCTCTCTTTCTCTCATTTTCTCGTTTTCTCTCTCTCTCTCTCTCTCTCTCTTTCTCATTCTCTCTCTCTCTCTCTTCCCTCTTCCACAGACGAAGGCGCTGAAGGCCCCGCTTACCTGGACAGAGCGATGGCGGACTTCTGCTGGACGCGCTCCGCCGTGGCGACCTCCGGCAGGCGGTGCGAGGGGGCGGGGCGCGTGTTGAGGAGGGCGAGCAGGACGGACACGCCCCCCGCGGCCACCACCTCCTCGGCCGCCCCGCGCGAGCCCGCCAGGTTGGCCAGCACCGTCGCGATCTGAGGGAGAGGAAGGCGGGTGTTAGGGCACAGCCTCGTGGGAATAGATGGGACATGCTTGCGATGCATACATACCTACACACACACACACAGAGGCACGTAAACACACACACAGAGGCACGTAAAACACACACACACGCATAGGCACGTAAACACACACACAAAACAAAACACACACACACACACACAGGCATGTAAACACACACACACCTAAACTCATACATATGACACTGTTGCTCCACCATCAGAGCACATCACCGTGATCCCACCAATCGCTAAACCGCCGCCCATTTTTCTCCGCCCACGAACCCCCCCCAACCCAACCGTCTCTCACCTGGTCTTTGGTGAAGATGGAGTGAGCGAGGCTTCCGCGCGCCGCCCGCAGGAGGACGCGGGCGGTCCCGGCGGCGACCATGGCGTCCACGAAGTCGCTGTCCAGGAAGGTGAGGTTGGCGAGGGCGGCGGAGGCGAGCAGGAAGGTCTCGGGCGTCTCCGTGCAGCGAGCGAGGCCTGGAAAGCGTTAGCAAGGGAATGAGGCGACGGTTCCTCTCCTCGTGTCTCAAGCAGTGCGTCGTGCGTCCGGTTTAGACGACTTGAGACGGAGTACTATTGGAAGTTTTGGGATGAAGAGCAAGTTGCTTTTTTTTCTTATTATACACAATACGACATAAGAAACGGGACTCTACACAATAGCCAGCATAACAAATATAAAAAAATCTCTGCAATGTTAGATGGATCCCCTGTACCACGTCAATACCTGTGAGGGCGGCGACGATGGCGTCCATGTTGTCGTGGAGGCCCGCCAGGCGGTGGTTGTCCTCCACCCAGGGCGACGTGACCTGCGCCAGCACGCCGCCGCCTCGCTGCGCTCCTCCTCGGGGGACGCTTCGTCGCACAGCACCTCCGCCACCACCTCCACGCCCCCGCCTGGACACGAAGGAAACGGTTGGTTGTTGCTTCTTGCAGGGTCTTCCGTACACTGTTTCACACTAGCTCCATCCCCACCCCCTCTCTCTCTCTCTCTCTCACACTCTCTCTCTTCTTTCTTTCTCTCTCTCTCTCTCTTTCTCTCTCCCTCCCTCTCTCTCTTCTCCATCTATCCAACCTATCTATATATAAGAATAAAAAGCTAAAATTGTACTATAAAACAAACCTAAATTCATTCATTTCAGTTGCATTTAACAGAAGACAGATACACATAAAATGAAAACAAAAACACCAACAACTGCCATTGAATCGTAACGTTTCGAATCCGCCAAGACCTCCTCATCAGACGAACAAATAACCGCAAAGACGACCCATCCACGACAACAGACCGAAAAAAAAAAAAAATTCGTTCACCTTCTCCAGCTCCAGGATCCCCTCGACGACACAGCACACGGTGGCCAGAGCGCGAAGGGCGTCCACGCGAACGACGCCCGCCCGCGACTCCAGGCAGATCCCCAGCAGCGCCCGCACGCCCCCGAGTCGAGCGATGAGGCGGCAGATGTGCCCCCCGTCCGCGCCCATCGCCGTCAGGCTCGTGATGGCGTCCCTCGCGTCCTGGAAGCTGCAGTCGTCCTCGAGGGATCGGATCACAATCTGGAGGAGAGGGAGGAGGACTTAGCCTTGGAATGGTAGAGAACGGGAGAGAGAGAGAGAGAGAGGAGAGGGAGGGAGAGGGAGAGGAGAGAGAGAGGAGGGAGAGAGAGAGAGAGTGAAAGAACGAGAAAGAGAGAGAGAGAGAGAGAGAGAGAGAGAGAGAGAGAGAGAGAGAAGAGAGAGAGAGAGAGAGAGAGAGAGAGAGAGAGAGAGAGAGAAATCATACTTAAACATAAGCCTGAGAGACGACAGTCATTCCAAAGTGAAAGCCAAATAATTGAGTCAAATTTAGTCCCAGTTTGCCAATCACCTTAATTTCGCGGCTGATCATGAGGTCGACCAGCTTGGTGAAGGCGTGGCCGAGCGCCGTCACCACCTGCACCACCTGTCGGGTCGTGTCCTGCTCGTCCGCCTCCCGCGTGTGGTCGTCGCCGCACACGTCCGTGAGTCGTTGGCAAATCTGTTCGATGACTTTGCTCTGACGACCCAGCGACGACTGTGGCGCCGAGAGAAAGTGCTTTTAGTTGGACGCCACTCGGAAGATGATAAACAAAATGAGAGGGAAAAATAGGAAAATTTGACTTTTAAAAATTTAACTAGGAGAAAAGGACGCGAGGAGGAGGTCTCACCTGCGGCTGGAAGTCCGGCTCGGCGGACGTCCACTGCGTGGTGTAGTCCTTCAGGAAGGTGTTGATGTGGCACACCAGGGACTTGGCCAGCACGGGCACCTGGTCCAGCTCCAGCCACTCCAGACGCCTGTTGGAAAGATATAAAGAGTACTTAGATAATGACAAGCACAAACCCTGACAGCAGTCTTCAGTAAAGCAAAATATATATCACAAAAGAATTGTCACTGACTAAAAACGGTAAAATTGAATAAGTAACTAATGACACACAGACCCGTGTTTGTATTAAAGATACAATACATGTCACGAATATATAGGACAGGCATCATTCATCTGGGAATGACAAACGCATATTTGTTTAGCCTGTACAAAAACAGTTGCCGAGCAAACAGATGTAAGTTAACATATAAACACAGAGAAAACATGTAAGGCGGAATTTATGTACTGTGTGCTTATCGTACAGAATCCGCGATATATATATATATATATAATATATTATATATATAAATTATATATATATATATATATATATATATTTAATATATATATTATATATATATATATATATATATATATATATATATATACAACACACATAAACACACGTAACTATTTATATCTGATGTGTGTGGACATATATATATATATATATATATATATATAATATATATATATATATATATACATATACACATATATTATATGTGTGTGTGGACATATATATATATATATATATATATATATATATATATATATATATATATATATGTGTGTGTGTGTGTGTTTGTGTGTGTGTGTGTGTGTGTGTGTGTGTGTGTGTGTGTGTGTGTGTGTGTGTGTGTGTGTGTGTGTGTGTGTGTGTGTGTGTGTGTGTGTATGTGTGTGTGTGTGTGTGTGTGTGTGTGTGTGTGTGTGTGGTGTGTGTGTGTGTGTGTGTGTGTGTGTGTGTGTGTGTGTGTGTGTGTGTGTGTGTGTGTCGTGTGTGTGTGTGTGTGATATCTATCTATCTAATATTTTATATATTCGTATGGCCAAACAACCACATATAAACGTTCGTGTCTGCAAGAGTGTGTCTATTTCTCTGCGCAATGTCAGCGTCCCGATCCCCGCCGCCGCGCCGCAGCCCAGACCGACAAGCACAGACCGACAAGCACAGGACACAAGCACAGACCGACAAGCACAGACCGACAAGCACAGACCGACAAGCACAGACCGACAAGCACAGACCGACAAGCACAGACACAAACAAGACCGACAAGCACAAGCACAGACCGACAAGCACAGACCGACAAGCACAGACCGACAAGCACAGACCGACAAGCACAGACCGACAAGCACAGACGACAAGCACAGACCGACAAAGCACAGACCGACAAGCACAGACCGACAAGCACAGACCGACAAGCACAGACCGACAAGCACAGACCGACAAGCCACAGACCGACACAGCACAGACCGACAGCACCGACAAGCACAGACGACAGCACAGACGACAAGCACCCGACAAGCACACCGACAAGCACGACCGAGCACAGACCGACAAGCACAGACCGACAAGCACAGACCGACAAGCACAGACCGGACAAGCACAGACCGACAAAGCACAGACCGACAAGCACAGACCGACAAGCACAGACACAAGCACAGACCGACAGCACAGACGACAACACAGACCGACAAGACAAAGCACAGACCGACAAGCACAGACCGACAAGCACAGACCGACAAGCACAGACCGCACAAGCACAGAGCACAGACGACAAGCACAGACCGACAAGCACAGACCGACAAGCAGACCGACAAGCACAGACCGACAAGCACAGACCGAC